AGAAAGTAATATAGGCATCAATAGAAATGTCTGTGAATACTTTACTCTTTCACTAATAAAGTATATCAGTGCTTTCCCCCATTTTATAGCGGACTATGAGGAACTGTTCTAACAAAAAAGAAATTTACAACCTCTTATTTCATTTCTATATCTTCTTTCTCAATGTTATCACTTGCATTCTACATTAGCTCTTAACTAAAGAGAACAGTCCATTTTGTTCTGCTCATCGTTTATAGATATTTTTTCATTGCCATTCTCTAATGCTTTTATCAGGGGCCGAATCCATGAGATTAACAGCACTGGATGCAGAAATGGCTATAAATTTACCTAGTTTCTTAAACTGAAGTCTAATCCTATCAGATTAAATTTATTAAGCTTTTGAATTGGGACCTTTGGAATGTGTACCTTTCAAACCAACATCACCCAAAAAATTGTTCCCTGTCACACAGAACCAAATGTAATCTGCTCATACAAGTAGAAAATATCTGATATAGCCTTCACTCAAGAAAGGAGTTACGGCTCAGAGAAATGACCTGGTTACAGGGCAGTCCTAGATTTCTCTGGAGCTTTCTTGGTGCTCACTGTAACTTTCCTCTTTGCTTCAAAATGCTTCATAATGCTTCATCTGCTTTACTTGTTTGTCACAGTTAAGAGAAGAAACAAAATAGATAAAACACAGAAAAGAATATGATTGCTGCTATGCTCAAATTGATGCTTTTGGCTAAACCTTATAGCTTTAATAAGTATTTTAAGAAATAATTGAATCAATGTAAGACATTAAGATATGTAAAATGGTTAATGTACAAAACATTATGTTTATAAAATCATTTTGGACAGTTTGCCTTGGAACTGAAACATGCACATTGTTTTGGAAACAGAATGAAATCGCTCTGTTTTGTTCTGAATATAGCTCAAAACATGACTGATCTGTACAAAGTGTCTTGCTGGCAGAAAGAGCTAAAGACATTGACAGAATCAGTATGAGAGGAGAGACATAAGATGGGGGGGCAGGTGAGGTGATGCAAAGATGGAAGGAATGGTTTGATAGAATATGCCATCCCTCCACTAAAGGGACACCAACTTTCCAGAGCTTTGCTTTCCCTTTCCACACCAATAAATATATAGGCCACCTAAACTTGCTATGGACTAACTTTACAAAGCCTTGCTTTCCCTTTTCACCATCAAAAGGACATCTTTGGTGGTGTAAAGGGAAAGCAAGGCGCTGGAAAATTTGTCTGTGGCAAGATTAAGTGGTCAAGATATGCTGAAGTGACGACGGATTATCATGCAACTGTCTTGCTCTATTCACTGACTGAAATCATTCTAAGATCCCTACAAGATTTGTTTCAGCTGAAACCCAGAACAAAAGCATTCCAGGATTCAGTCTACCAATTGGGATAATCCTGAATGTCTCAGTGGAACATTTACAATGCCATGTATCTACTTGGAGTTCAGAAAAAAGCATTTTTGTTTTGTTTTGTGCATATCCAACCAGGAACCTTTAGTAGAATAAGAGGTTAAATTTCAAATTTCTTCAACAGAAATAAAACAATCTAGCATCACTTTAAAATATACTTACTGAGCATTATGGAGAATGTTAACATTATTTGTGGTTCAGAAATTGCATTAAGACGTAATCTGGTTTGTTTGTAAACTATAGTTTATAATTTAATATGAGATGTGAACACAGGTCTTGTGGCTTATTTAGCAAGTCCCAAATGATGGCTTAGTATATGAAGCTAGTGATTGTGTTCATGCTTCATACAATTTTGTACTGAAACAAAACCATCTAACAAACTTATGGTTTCAATTGCACAAAGCCATATGTTCATATTTTAAATTAGTGCAATTGTAATAACTAATTTGTGCTTTAGTTAAGGATAATTTAATATAAAGTCCTTATTCCTGACTGGCAAACAGATTACCAATGGGCAACTAGAGAATGCGTGAATGATAATGTAAAGACATGGCTTTTATTATTTATTCATAGAGAACAGTAGGTTTCAATGTGCGCCTTTGAAAAATGTTCAAACTGGTGGAATATAATAAAAGCACTGTGGAAAATTCTATTTCATTAACTTTTAATCATAAATCACTCTTTAAAATAAAACATAAAATAAAAGTCTGTCAGAAGCACTTAGGTCTAGAAAGGAGAGAAGGACAGGAAAAAAAAGGAAAATATTACCAGGACATTCATTTTTTTCCAGCTGTCTGACACTTTCCTGCTAAAATGAGACAACCCAAACAAAAAAACCCACATTTTTTGCCTAGACATAAGGGTTTAGACCAATATGGTTGAGAGATAAATACAAAATACTGCATCTTATTGAGATAAAGATACTTTGCTATATGTGGCATAAAATGTGAGAAACTGTGGCACATCATGTACTACAGCCTTCAAAAATAGTCTCCAGGGATACAACAACACAGATCTATCCTGCTCTGCAATAATATAAAAATCAAGTCAAGACTGTAGCAAATCACTTTTTATATGAAGATTTCTATTACATTTTTATTCTGTAACCTGTCCAGTTCTTAATCAAACATTTTTCACCCTCTATTAAAAAAAAACAACATCACTTTTATGGCAGTTATGGGGCCCTTTACACAAGAAAGGAGATTTTGGAGAAAATATACAGCCAAGGGACGACAACATAATTTGTATGCAAAAGTTCCCAGATTCAATTTTTGACTTCTTCTGGATTAGCTGGAAAGACTCCAGTCCTAATCCCCAGAAAAACTGTTGCCAGTTGCAATTATTAATGCTGAGCTAAAAGGAATATAGGTCTCACTCTGAATATGACCGATTTGCTGGTCCTTCCACATCGGACAGGGAATTGGACTATATTTCAGTCATGAGATTATTATCTACCTTTCATGTGTTTTTCAATTTTAGTGCTTTTTCTAAGCAAAAATTGTAATGAAACCATTGAGTATACACACATTTTCAGAGAGGAATATTATCTAACTTTGATGTAGGCCATGTGTATTTTTAATTGCCAACCCTGTTAAACAACTGAATATTGAATATATAACATTTTATACTCTGAGCAAATGGCAAGACTTGGTCACTAGAGTATGTAAATACCATCATTGGTTATTTCATACAGATATCAATCTTGCACATATATCTATAGAAATACTGGATTCCAAGAGTGATCATATGATATAAGCCACCCAGTGACTTATTTACTGTGTTCGTTAGAAAATGCTTAGTATGTAGAAGGTTGAAAGCTATCCTACCCTGTGAATAGTGGCCCATTTCAGAGTTAGACCAGCCTGTGGTTATGTATTTGTCAACTCAAAGTCCTCAAAGAACCCCAGCTGAGAGATGACTTAGAGCAAAAAAACATAAGCTGCCTTGCATGCATGAAGCAGTATGTTGTGCTCAGCAGGGCAAGCAAAATTGCACAGTCAGGTTTTTTTTTAAATTTAGCCTTGCTAATTCAAAGACTTCATATCACTTGCCAAAAATGGAGAATCACACCCCACTCTTTGATGTGACTCAATTAGAGCTCTGCAAAGCACTAGCAAGGTCCTAGTCACCAATTTTGAAGTTCTTTCCCCAACTGCTAGATTCCCTGTCACCAAGCTTTTGGAAACCGAGAAAGAGAAATAGAGAATAGAATTAAGTTCAAGTAATTAATGAAAAAAACCATCCCATGAAATTCAGCATCAAAAAACATCCTTGGCTAATACTCTTTTTTTCTGCCTAAATGGTATTTACTGTATAGTTTATCTTCCTTTAAGCAAAAAGAGAAAGGGAGAAATGTTACATTATTAGGAGATAAGGACGTTCTTTTTTTTTACATAATGTATATCCTGTGCATCTGCCTCCTGGTGACCTTTTGTTGTTATTGTTCAAAAGCATGAATCTCTATGCTTAAAATGTTCATCTTCACCATCCCCCAAATAACATGCAAAAGCCTCTGTGTGTCTCCACATACATATATTTACTGTATCTTAGTTCAAATTTAGGAATCAAGAAACTGTGTACTAAGAGAAAAACATATATATCTATGATCTAAAGCAAGGGTCTCCAACCCCTGATCCATGCATTGGCACCAGGCTGTGGCGTGTCAGGAAACAGGCTGCACAAACAAGCAAAACCGAATCTGTGGGATGTACTCAACACACAAAACCATGCCCACTCTGGTCCACAGAAAAACCTTTCTCCATGGAACCGGTCCCTGGTGCCCAAAAGGTTGGGGGCCGCTGATCAAAAATTTGTATTTACTTATATATATATTGACATTTTATAAGGCTGTATAGGAATTTGCTTCAGATGTATAACACTGAAGAAAGTTAAGTAATGTGGAACCCCCAATGAGGCTAGATTTATTTATTTCATCACTATTTCACTTGTAAGTATGACTCTTAACTGTATGTCTCCCTGAATTTATTACAAAAAATGTGTTTCTTAATAAGTCTAATGATGTTAATACAAATGTCCCCATAGAGTCTCTGAACAAAGTGTAAAAACATCTTTTTTTATTGGTGTGGTTCTAGTTGGTAATGGTATTAGGACACAAGGATCCAGATTTACCTATGGTTTCATGTCCTTCAACTACTTGAGTTTTATATTAGGAAGATGAGTGCACAAGGCTTTTATTTTGTTTTATACATAAACATATCTAGCCGCAATTTGAGAACAGGTAGCCAAAATACTTATTTTTTGTAAATAAACAGAACTAGTTTTAGGGCACAGTCTTATACTTCAGCACATAAGTTTGCAGGACTATTTTCTTTGTCCTGGTTCTCTTTGCAACTCTAGCAAATGAAGTGGCTTAGAGATGCTGTCCTCATTTTCACTGTTCCTGAATCAGACGACAATTTTGTCCCTCCTTCAGGTACATAGAATTTATTTTGACACTAAGAAGGTAAGTTTTGGGGAAAGCAGATATTCATTCTCAACACAATTCTGTTATTAAAATTTATTTTTAGAGAGCTCTTCTTAAGTGAAAAACAGTTTTCTTTTACAACTCCAGAAATGAACCTACCTGTCCAATTATGAGTGGAACTACAACAGTCATGAACAGCTGTGAGAATATAGATGAAAAAGGCACAGAAGAGGAGGATCCAAGCTAGGAGACAAAATGAAGTGCACGATTAATACAGGATTTTAATTACAGTTGACTTAATAATGAATTTGTTTAGATCAACAGTGCAGTATCTCTGTACAGCCCCTGCAGCATTCCAACAATTATATTTATGTGGGTTGTGTGTGTCTCTGCGTTTAAATTGCTGAAATATTGTAAGAACAGAGAAATCACATAAGATGTTTTTTATTATTATTTATTTAATACTTTGCAGTCACAGACCAAAATGCAAGTGCAACAAAAGAAAACACAAGAAAAATATAATCACAAACAATTAACACCAGAAGCCTTGGCTAAAGGGAATTACAACATTCTCCTCTAATAGTTACAGCTCTTGAAAGAAATTTAGAAACCTGAGAAGTTATATAGGAGCCATCCCCTAGACAATATAAGACCAAATTACTAACATTAGAACCAGAGGGATCAATTCCAAGGAGATACAATAATTTAATTCTGGCTGTGTTATACGTAGGGCAGTATGATAAGACATGCTCCACAGTTTCAACTTCAGCCCTATCACAGGGGCATAGTCGCTCACTAAACAGGAGCCTCTTGAATCGCCCGTCAAGTAGTGCTGAGGGAAAGACATTGAAACGGGCTAGGTAAAAGACTCTTCTATACTTGGGGATGGTTAGAGTATACAAATATGAAGCCATCCTCAATCCATAATTATAAGAATGGCTGAAGATCAAAGGGGAGCAGGTTTTAAATATTGCAAATCTATGTCCATAAGCTGTTGGACTACCCTAAACTGGGCGTCCTTGAGACCATAATCTCCCAGAGCATCCCCCGTAAAACCTAGCAAGTGGAGTTTCTTCGTCAGCTCCCTCTCCCAACGAGAAATATGAGAGTCAGCAAACACAGGGAGAGGTAGCTACCAGGGACTGCCAAAAAGAGCACCCGAAACCACCATTAATCCACGCCATGCATTCAACTGAACGAATGCCCAGTTCCAGGTACATCGAAGCAAATCCAACACAGGGAGGAAGACCCAGAAGTTTCCTAAGAAAAACAGCCTGGGTTCTTTCAATATAATCCTTGAAGCCTCGTATCCATATGGGAATTTCATAAAGAGTTTGGGCCAGGGTTTTGGCTTTATATATACACAGAGCAGAAGGAGTAAACTGGCCTACTTGGGTAAAAAAGAATCTTATAAGCTGCTGATGGCTATAGGAGGCCGAATTCAGCACCTGGGTTCGACATAAGATGTTAACATTCTCCGGAGAGCAAGATCTGGAATGAAAATACTAAAGTCTTACAAATTTTCATGGTTTCTCAATATTTCAGAATTTTGTTTCTGTTTTATTTATTGGCTCCTGCCCTTTGAAAAAGCTGCCAAAAATTTGAAAGCTGTTTATACCAGTAGTTATGAATATTCCTGCGGCATCATATAAAAATATGGGAGAAATCCAGGAATATATTACATACATTGAATTTGTCACTGTACACATAAACATATCCTTCAAGGTAACGCAAGCAATATCCAGGAAGGTCTTAAAGCTCAATGACTGACCTAATCCTCTATCAAAGAATTAATGATTTGACAGTTGTTATGATATAAATATATAAATCAATCAGTGACAACTATTCTTGGGTCAATATTAGCATATATAACTCTTAACACCTTCCAGATGTTCCCCAACCTTTCCACGTTGGCAGGCCAGTGCGGGGGGAGGGAGGGAAGAGGGGATGGTTTTGTGTGAGGGGCAGAGGCACGTGCAAGTGAACAGCTTCATTTGTGTGAGCAGCGGGCGCTTGTACCCTCTGCTTGCATGAGTAAGGCTGCAAGTGTGAATGGGGCTGCGCGTGAGTGGGGCTGGGCAGATGTACACACTGGCCCACCGCTCACACAGCCTGGTTGTGAATAAGCCGTGGCCCCATAGTGGGCCATGGCCCACAGGTTGGGGACCCCTGTACTAGATTGTACAGTTTGCAACATGTTCATACAGCCTCATCATTGTCTTGTTGGTGAAACTGGGAGTCATAAACACAACTGGAGAGCAAAGGTCAGGGAAGGCTGCCTTATATTAAATTTCTTCAAGATGTGGTAGAAACACACTTTAGAATTAAAGCCAACACTAAATTGCTGTTAAAACACACTGAGGCTTAGAGAAGAATCAAGACCTTTATCTTCAGTTGGAGCTTATATCTCTACAGGCCTTCCATATAGCAGAGTTTTTATTCCATTTCCATCTCACAATCCCTCACAAACGAGTCCAAAGCCAACCCTCAATCAGCTCCCTTCTACTTGCCTTGAAACATTGAGAATACTCATCGAGAACAACTTTAAGCCAAGCCATTTATCAGACTACTCCTTTCTAGTCAAAAGGGCAATATGATTAGATAATAGCCACAAGGATTTACTAGTACCCTATTTAAATTCCAAAAAACAAGTGAAAAATCCATAGATTTGATTTATTTCACACGCATGCCTTTGTGACACAGCATTTCCAGGATCATGTGACTGCAATTCAGGGACTTGGTGCCTGGCTTGCAATCACAGTATCTGAGTGAGCACATGATTTCTGACATTCCCTGCTGGCTTCCCACAAGCAAAGTAAATGGGGAAGGCAGCAGGACTCTAAAAGATATAGTCACATCATTGATGTGTGTCCAGGGCTCGGAAGAGAGGGATGAATGGTTTAACTTGGGAGATAGGATCAAGAATCCAATGCCCATGGAAAAAGAATAGTCAAAGATAATTAACCTGACTGGAAATAGATTTTAAAAAATTAAGACTTGTTTTACTGGTGAGGTTGTCCATATTCCTTTCCTAGCATACTTTGGCTCCAGCAGGGGCCAAAGACACCTTGCTTAGTTTTAAGAGTTTTCAGGCATGATTGAAGTTAATACAAAGGCAGAATACAATACCTACAATTACAGGCTTGTAGGGGGGGGGGAAACCCTCAATTTTTATTTCGGATAAAGTAGAAAACTAAGCCGGAAAAACATTGAATCAGAACTTGCAATGATTCAACAACATAGTAACAAGCAGGTCCAAAGCTTATGTGGGCAAGTGCAATGCTAATGAAATTATAAAGCCACTTTTTTTCATTTAAATCAGTTAATCTTTTCTTAAAAACTTCCAGTGTTGGAGCATTCACAACTTCTGGAGGCAGGTTGTTCCACTGATTAATTGTTCTAACTGTCAGGAAATTTCTCCTTAGTTCTAGGCTGCTTCTCTCTTTGGTTAGTTTCCATCGTTTCTTGTCCTGCCTTCAGGTGCTTTGGAGAATAGCTTTACTCCCTCTTCTTTGTGGCAGCCCCTGAGATATTGGAACATTGCTATCATGTCACCCCTCGTCCTTCTCTTCATTAAACTAGATATACCCAATTCCAGCAACTGTTCCTTATATGTTTTAGCCTCCAATCCCCTGATCATCTTTGTTGCTCTCTCTGTACTCTTTCTAGAGTCTCAACATCTTTTTTACATTATGGTGACCAAAACTGGATGCAGTATTCCAAGTGTGGCCTTACCAAGGTGTTATAAAGTGGTATTAACACTTCATGTATCTGGATTTATCCCTCTGTTAATGCAGCCTAGCATTGTGTTGGCTTTTTTGGCAGCTGCAGCACACTGCTGGCTCATATTTAAATGATTGTCCATTAGGACTCTGGGGTACCTCTCACAGTTACTACTATTGAGCAAGGTACCACCTATACCGTATCTGTGTATTTGTTTTTTCTTGCCTAAATGTAGAACCTTACTTTTTTCACCATTGAATTTCTTTTTGTTAGACAGCACCCAATGTTCAAGCCTATCTTCTGGAGTGTTGGCTACTCCTACTAGCTTGGTGCCGGCTGCAAATTGATGAGTTCCCCATCTATCCCCTCATCCAAATCATTGATGAAGATGTTGAAGAGCACTGTGCCCAGAACAGACCCCTGGGGCATCCCACTACACACTTCCCCCTATGTAGATGCAGTTCCATTGAGGACCACATGCTGAGTACGGCCGGTCAGCCAGCTGGTGGTGATGCTATTTAACCCACATTTTTCTATCTTATCAAGTGGAAGGTTGTGTTCTACTTTATCAAATACTTTACTGAAGTCCAAGTAAATTATATCCACAGCATTCCTCTGCTCCACTTATTTTGTCACTTGGTCAAAGAATGCAATAAGATTTGTCTGGCATGATCTTTTTTTGACAAACCCATGTTGGCTTTTGGTAATGATTTTGTTTGCCTCTAGGTGTTCACTGATTCGTTGCTTGGTTATCTTTTCCAGAATCTTCCCAGGTATTGAGGTCAGGCTGATAGGTCTGTAGTTTCCTGGATCCATTTTTTTCCTTTTTTGAAGATGGGAACTACATCAGCTCTTTTCCAGTCCTCCGGTAGTTCCCTTGTGCTCCAGAAACTGTTCAACTTGTCTCATTTTGACAGAATAACAAATATCTGAGCAATGGTATTCTTCAAGGAGAAAATTCTTTAGCTTTGGTAACAGTGCTGGCCTGGTGTTTTGTCCAGATGGTTGGTTACCAATGTCCCTTTATCCTCACCTGGTTTTCATGTCTAAGATGAAACTAGAACTCACCATCTCCTGGTTTCTTGCCTGTTGCCTTAACCACTAGATTAAAAAAAACACTAGCGGCTTGAAGAAAAGTTAACACATGCAATATGTCCAGTTTCAATATCAATGGCTTGTTCCTATGTTTTATCATATGTAAAGTTGTAAATATAAAAACAATAGCTGGGAAGTGGTCTTATCCTGGGCATTTCAGAAATTTAGCACCACAGTCAATACTAGCAATATTAAAAGTATGTTTCTTTGTTGCCTTTATTTAAAAGATTTGTATGGCAGACCATCTTTTTTTAATATATTTTATTGATTTTTTAAGATAAACACCTTAATATTTGGCAAACAGCGTGTTGTCTGGGCTTATATTTGCAAAGTAATAATTAACAATCAGTTTCTATATTCCAAAGTCTACATAATAGCTTTGCTTGATTTTCTCTTCTTCCAATAATATTCTCTTTGCCAATCAT